TTAGACAGCAGTTTGGGAATGGGAATTTTTGTTTCAGTTTCGCCACTTAGTAGCTGTGTCATCCTGAGCATCTCAATCTTACTTCCTCTTTGGTAAGATGTGTTGGGTTAAGGGAACTTAAAACTTCTTTCAGTTCTGAAATTCTGTGGTTCTCAGAGGAACATTTCTGGAATTTAAAACATTACAAGTGGCAAGACTCAATGGGGGCGCAGGGCATGGTGGCTCACACCTGTAATCCTAGCACTCCAGGAAACCGAGGCAGTTTGGTTTGCTGGAGACCAGCCTGAGCAAGAGTGAGACCCTGTCACTACTAAAAACAGAAAACAACCTTGCTGGGCATGGTGGCAGATATTTATAGTCTCAGCTACTTGGGAGGCTGAGAAAAGAGGATCTCCAAAGCCCAAGAGTTTGAGGTTTCTGTGAGCTATGATGATACCCAGGGCAACAGAGTAAGACTTTGTCTCAAAAAAGAAAAAGAAGACTCAGTGGAGTCTCAAATGAAGGGGGAGTTCTAGAGTTCTCTACTACAACAGACAAAGCCAGAAAAGAGTAAAATATCCTGAATTTGAGTGACAGTTTACTCTAGAAGGCTCTTTGGAAGTATGAGCCTCACAGCAGTCCTCAGAATTAATAGGCACAGTGCCCCAAACTCAAGACCAATTTGCTTCCCCTGAATCTTGGTCTGGTGCAATCCCCCCAACCCAAGTGAGGGGAGTTTAAACATGATATTGGCACCTAGGGTTTGCTTTTAGATTTCTCTGGCCTCTTTCTCACTATCCTTTAATTTTGCATTACGCAAACAATAGTTTTGTATTCCACATATAAGATTATAATATTAAATATGTTTCTTCAGACTAGACTGGCCAATCACAGCCACACAGCCCCCATCCTCTTCCAGAGATTCTTTATGTCCCCAAGGAGTCATGCCCTCATCCCTAAGTGATTATAGGAAGATCGATTCTACCAGCCTAGGCAGCAAGGTCCTCTATTATGTGTCTGTTTTTCATAGTCATTAATAGGAGAGACCTCTCCTTAATCAAATAAAATCCATTGAGCCTGCAACATGTAAAACTCTGTGTGATATGGTTACTGTCCACAAAGACTTTATTGCACATTTTAAAAACTATGTTAGTGTTCCATTACCAGAAGGTAAAACTAATGTAGACCAACTTTTCTTCTACAGAAATAGAGTAAATTCACTCAAGTACAGTAGAACAGACGTAAATAGGATAGAAAAAAGAGAGTATCAGAATGCATCCCATCGAGAGGAGTAAAATAGTATTTTGTGAAACTTTGTGTCAATTCATGGTAAGATGTGATACGGAAATGTTTGCCTTGTTGTGGATTGTGATTTTTTAAATGTTTGAAAACCATCATTTTACAGTATGTCCAGGAATGCAAAATTATATGAGACCTCACGTGGTATGGAGGGGTGGGAGGTGCTGAGGAAGAGCTGCAGGGGCCCGTGAGTCTAAACACCAGAGAAATGACAGACACTCAATGCGGACAGAGGTAGCAAAGGGGGGAGGGTATGTGGAAAGAAATGAGACCAGAGCCAGGTGAGGTGGCTCACGCCTATAATCCCAGCACTCTGGGAGGCCAAGGTAGGCAGATTGTTTGAGCTCAGGAGTTCGAGACCAGCCTGAGCAAGAGTGAGACTCTGTCTCTAAAAAATAGCTGGACATTGTGCTGGGTGCCTGTAGTTCCAGCTAGCTGCTCAGGAGGCTGAGGCAAGAGAATCACTGGAGCCCAAGAGTTGCAGGTTGCTGTGACCTATGACCCCAGGGCGCACAATTCCACAGCCACTGAGACTCTGTCTCCAAAAAAAAAACCAGGGACCTGAGTATCAAGGGGATTGAGGGAGAGGGCTATGACTTAGTGAGGTAGGAGTTAGGGGGAGAATGTTATGCCTGGGATTAGTGTGAACAGAACTATAGTTGGCCTTCCATATCTGAGTTTTCTGCCAAACAATGGGAAATATTCAAGAAAATAATAATAGCTGTACAGCAATAAAAAATAATACAAATAAATAATATAGTCTAACAACTTTTTTTTATTTATTTTTTATTGAATCATAGCTGTATACATTACTACTCTCATGGGGTACAGTGTGTTGTTTCTATATACAATTCGAAATACTTTCACCCAATTGGTTAGCATAGCCTTCATGTCATTTTCTTAGTTGTTGTGTTAAGATATTTATATTCTACATTCAGAAAGATTCACATATACCCTTATAGGATAAATCACAGGCGTGATCCCACCTATCCTCCCCCCTCCCCTTCCCTCCCTCTCCCCTTTCCCCATATTCTTGGGCTAAAATTGGGTTATAGTTTTCCTATGGTAGCTATATATTAGTTTCATACTAGGGTTGAGTACATTGGATACTTTTTCTTCCATTCTTGAGATACTTTGCTAAGAAGAATATTTTCCAGCTCCATCTATGTAAACATGAAGGAGATAAAGTCTCCATCTTTCTTTATGGCTGTGTAGTATTCCATCATGTACATATACCACAATTTATTGATCCATTCATGTGTCAATGTGCACTTGGGCTTCTTCCATGACCTATTTACCTAGCATTTACATTTTGTTAAGTGTCATAAGTAACCTAAAGATGATTTAAAGTATACAAGAGGGCGTGTGTAGGTCATATGCGAATACTGTGCAATTATATATAAGGGTCTTGGATCTGTGGATTTTGATATCCTCAAGAGTCTCGGATCCAGTCCCCCACGGATGCTAAAAGCCAACTGAACTCTGTTTCTTCTTGAATTGCAGCCCTGCTCTAGAATGAAGCTAATTTGGGGACCCTCAAGTTTTTTATGGGATTGTTATTATATTTCTTTGTTTCCTCCCCTCCAGGTTTTCCTTCGGTTTTTGTGGATCTTTTATAATTCAGATGTCAGATCTCCGATCTCCCAGTTCAATCCTCTGATTTTCTATTCCATTTTCTACTTCTTCTAGGTGTCTTTCTGGAAGATTTCCTTCAACTTTGTCTTTCAACGTTTTCAGTGAATTTTTCATTCCTATTATCAGATGTTTAATTTGCAGTAGCTCCTTTAATCTCTAAATATTGCATTTTTCTAGCAGTTTGGTGTTTTGGGATGTCATACCTTCTCTTATATGCCAACAGTGGTAATCATAAGAAACTTTTTGTGCTTCTGCTCTTGTCTCTACACTTATAAGAATCTCAGAATCCATTTCTCATGGCCAGTCATTCTCAAGCCTGTCTCTCCTGCCCTGTCACCATACCAATGTGGAAAGTTTCTTAGGTACCATTGCTGCTTCTAGAGGCATCACGGGTTGCCACTTTGTATCCCTTAGACACTGTGTCTACTCTCTCTCCAGGAGGAAGTCTCCTATGAGGAAAGGGCCTGTGAAGGAGGGAAGTTTGCAACGGTGGAAGTGAGTGACAAGCCCGTGGATGAGGCTCTACGGGAAGCAATGCCCAAAGTCGTAAAGTATGTGGGGGGCACCAATGACAAGGGTGAGTACCCCATAGGACATGATCCTGCATTAGTAAGAAGGGGGCTACTGCCTGCCTGTGTCAGGGGCACATGAATTCCTGCCCTGTGTGAACAAGGAGCTCCGTGCAGGAAGCTGTGGGGAGACCACCCTGGCATCACTTTGTGGTTTCCTTGCTCACTCTCTCTGAATTCATGCTCCACTCCCAGATCTGGGGCCATTTGCTCTATTTTTTTTTAACCCTAGAGTGCTTAGTGCAGTGGTTCTCAACCTTCCTAATGCCTAAACCTTCCTAAACTTTTAATATAGTTCCTCATGTTGTGATGACACCCCAACCATAAAATTATTTTCGTTGCTACTTCAGAACTGTAATTTTGCTACTGTTATGAATCATAATGTAAATATCTGATATGCAGGAGACCCCCAAAGGGGTCATGACCCACAGGTTGAGAACCGCTGGCTTGGTGTGTTTTAGGATTGGTTGACTGGCTGAGGTACCTAAGCTGAGCCACAGCACAAGGCAAGGCCAGCATCTGCCTTTTGGTCTCCACCACCAGGCTGGAAGTTCCCAGAGTCAGGCCCTCATAGCTCAGACTCTGCTGGGAACTGAGGCTCAGTACTGCAGGTCCCAGACTCTGTTCTGGCCAATGGAGGGAATGAGAATTCTGAGGCTCTCCACTCTTAAAGACTGGGCAGTTCATCCTGGCTGCCCCTCTGTTTTTAAAATGATAGGTCTAAAGTTTCATGAGAGGTGTACTTGTTAGCCTGTAAACCATTCTTCTTTTTTTGTTTGTTTGTTTGTTTGTTTGTTTTTGAGACAGAGTCTCACTATGTCACCCTCAATAGAGTGCTATGGCATCACAGCTCACAGCAACCTCAAACTCTTGGGCTTGGCTCGGCATCTGTGGCTCAAGTGGCTAAGGCACCAGCCACATACACTTAAGGTGGTGGGTTGGAATCCAGCCCAGGCCCACCAAACAGCAGTGACGGCTGCAACCAAAAAATAGCCAGGCATTGTGGTGGGCGCCTGTGGTCCCAGCTACTTGGAAGGCTAAGGCAAGATACTCTTTTGAGCCCAGGAGTTGGAGGTTGCTGTGAGCTGTGATGCCATGGCACTCTACCCAGGAGGACAGTTTAAGGCTCTGTCTCAAAAAAAAAAAAAACTCTTGGGCTTAAGCAATTCTCTTGCCTCAGCCTCCCAAATAGCTGGGACTACAAGCGCCCGCTACAACACCTGGCTACTTTTTTTGTTATAGTTGTCATTATGGTTTAGCTGGCCCAGGCTAGTTTCGAACCCACCACCCTCGGTGTATGTGGCACCATAACCACTATGCTACAGGCACCAAGCCCTGTAAATCATTCTTAAATATGAATTTGTCTCTCAAGAAGTTTTCTAATTTGGGTGGCACTTTGGAATCACTGAGAACCAAAAAATGAGTTAGTAAGGTGAAAAAAGAAATGGCATATTTAATTTTTAGGATATTTTTCAAGCTGATAATTTAGAAAGTCAGATACTGGTATTAGCCTTAAAAACATTTACTAGGACCCAAATAATCATGTTCTGAAACCAAGTTGGCCAGTAAAAAGTCAAGAAGAAACCTTTGCCTTCTTAACACTGTCATAATGTTTTTTGTATGGAAATACATATAAAAATTATTAAACTCATTGGCTGGGTACAGTGGCTCACACCTGTATTCCTAGCATTCTGGGAGGCCAAGGCCAGCAGATCACTTGAGCTCATGAGCTCAAGACCAGTCTGAGCAAGAGTGAAGCCCTTTCTGAAATGAAAAACTGAGGCAAAAGGATTGTTTGAACCCAAGAGATTGAGGTCGCTATGAGCTATGATGCCATAGCACTCTACTGGGGGTGACAAAGTGAGACTGTGTCAGAATAAATAAATAAATAGCATCAATAGCATACACAGCAGCAGCATCATAGATCGTAAACTCCAACTCTTTGCTAACTATTCCAATGGAAACATTCTTTGTAGTTAGGTCTCTCTTAAGGCACGCAGACCATGTTCAACCAGTTCATTTAAATTGCACTCCATAAATTCAGACATAGGTCTCTCCAAGTAGGGACGAGCTGATTGAGAACGAGCTCCAGTGGACATAGCTCAGCAGTCAAAAGAGTTAGCAGATGGACAAGTTTGGAAGATGTGAGGGCTCGTATCATCATAACCAGCAATAAGTAGCCCGACACCATATGGTCTCCGGCCATATCGTTGTGTTCGTATCTGGGTCTTGCTTCCAATTAGAGATACAAGACAAGACACAGGCAGTGGTCTGTCAAATACAAATCTGGAATCCAAACACTCCTGGCGCATAAAATTACACAACAGTCTAGCCTCAGCAGTAAACCCCACAGTTGAGATACCAATATGGTGGTCAACGTGGAGAATTTTTTTCTGATGAGCTACAGGTTCTGACTGTGCCCTTTTCAACGCTACAACACTGCATGGGTTTTTGACTTCGGAACGACAGTGGCAGAACCTTGTTTAACAGCTTCCATTGCATATTCAATTTGATGAATCTGCCCTGAGGGCTCCAAACTGTCACATCATTGTCATACTGGTTGCAACATGGTTCTGGCACCAGCCTGGCCGTAGCCTCCAGTAAAGCTAGGAATCAGGGAGCGCAGCCAATACACAGTCTTGATATATATTGCCAAGTGATTTTTTTCAGGAATTGTATCACTAATATTCCTAGCTCCATTATAAAATAAGAGATGTGTGTGTGTGTCTCACTATGCATTTTTGACACCTGAAATGTTCATTGCTCATTTCAAGAACAAAAAACGTGGCCTTGGAAGAAGAATGAGATTAGTGTCTCTTCCCTGGCCTTGCCCAAGCGCTGTCTCTAAGCCCTGCCGCACTCTGTGTGTTTTTCCATTTTCAGGGATTGGGATGGGGATGACAGTCCCTATTTCCTTTGCTGTGTTCCCCAGTGAGGATGGCTCCCTGCAGAAGAAATTAAAAGTCTGGTTCCGGATTCCAAACGAATATCAAAGTGACCCGCCAGTTCCCAGTGACCAAAGCGTCAAGATTGAGGAGCGGGAAGGCATCACTGTCTATTCCATGTAAGGGGATGATTCTTCAGGCTTCTCAATTCCCAGAACCACTCCCTGAATCATCTCCAGGGAGCATTCGCATTGAACTTTTATGGTTGCTGAATTAATTTAATTAATCACGACTTAGCTTCTCCATCTGTTAAGTGTTAATTTAAGTAGGAAATGCTTAATCCTGACAAATTCTCATTTTAATTTCTTCAGGCTGCAGCATACTTACGTTTGCATTTTATCTGAATAAGTGCCTTGGCTTATTGCCAAGTGTTGCGTAGAGAAAGTAACCCCATAGCTTAAAGCTTAAGATGAACGCCTGCATTAGCCACAGCAGGGTTCTGGGAGATTCAGCAAATATCTAAGTCTAACTGTGGTTTGGGTCATGGACGTGTGGGAAGCACAAAGGGCTGGGGAACACCTGATTTCTACCCTATACTGCCTTTGAGTGCCAAGAGGGCAGGCAGCATCTGCCGGGGCTGGGCTTCGACCCCCGTGTTGTTCCTCTCTGTGGTCCTTTGAGCCGAGCACATACCCAGCCTCTTGTCATTCTGGCCCTATTTCTAGGACCTCATTTCCTAGACGCTCCCTGGAGGATAGAGAGTAGCAGGTGCAGATCGTTGTATGTTTTTGTCCTTTGGGCTCCAACTTCCTCTCAGAAACCAATTCTCTTCTAGACAATTGATGACTCTCCATTTGTTAAAATCCTACTATGTGACAGGCACCAAACCAGGCACAGGAGAAGACTAGAATCTTCACCAGTAGTAACCAGAGGTGGCAGTTTGGTTCTGCTCAGGAACCACCTCATGAAAAATCAAATCCATATACACATACCCTTGCACTGGACAAAGTTTTGGTCTATTCCCAGGGATCTCCGAATTTGGTCATTGGCCGTGCTGCTCCAACTCTGCACCTGAGGGTAGGACAGCTTTCTCTGGAGGCAGGTGAATGTGCTGAGAATGTGAGCCTCGCTGCTGTGGGCAGTCCTGGGTCAGGAGACTGCAGGGCTTCCCAGAAGACAGTGAGCAGAGTGCGGCCGGGAGCTGGAGTCAAAGCCTCAGTTCACAGGCTTCTACCGCAGTCCTCACTCTGACCCCCAGCTTCACTGCAGAGGCTGCAGAGAAAGCAAACTAACTAAACAGTGTCTTCCTGGGGTGGGGAAGTGAGGCACCGAGGGGGCAAAATATAAGGGAGGGCTCACTCTCAGTCTTCCAGGTACGGGGTGGACAGTGGGTTTCTATCTCGTCTGTTCACTTTCCTGTGCTTTGGGAAGTATCCTGGTATAATACAGGGTGGCCATAAAGTTCGTGTGCAGTTCAAATTAGTGTGCCGTTTTAAATTGCACACAGACTTTATGGCCACCTTGTGTAATGAGCAGGCGTTTTATAGACTGAATCCCACATCTGCTGCTTACTAGCAAGATGATAAGACTTGGTTTCTCCATCTGCTTAGTGTTGATAATATAACCTCATGTGTGTTGGGAGAAGGTATGATATAATCTCATAGGATTATTGTTAAAGAGTATCTTTCAGTATTTATTAAGATATTTATTTATTAGAGACAGGGTCCACTCTGTTGCCCAGGATGGAGTGGTATGATCACGGCTCACTTCAGCCTCAAACGCCTGTGGTCAAGTGATCCTCCTGCCTCTGCCTCGCAGGTAACTGAGACTACAGGCATGCACCACCACGTCTGGCTAATTTTTTTAATTTTTTGTAAAGATAGGTTCTTGCTGTGTTGCCTATGCTGGTCTTGAATTCCTGACTTCAAGTGATCTTCCTGCCTCAGGCTCCTGAAGTGCTAGAATTACAGGTGTGAACCACTATGCCTAGCCTAAGATATATATTTTTTTTGGGGGGGGGAGACAGAGTCTCACCCCGTTACCCTGGGTAAAATGCCGTGGTAGCATTATAGCCCACAGAAATCTCGAACTGTTGAGTTCAAGCTATCCTCCTGCTTCAGCCTCCTAAGTAGCTGGGACCACAGGCACTTGCCACCCTGCCCTGCTGGTTTTTCTATTTTTAGTAGAGGCAGGGGTCTCATTCTTGCTCAGGCTGGTCTCAAAGTCCTAAGCTCAAGGAATCCACCTGCCTTGGCTTCCCAGAGTGCTAGGATTACAGACATGAGCCACTGCACTTGGCCTGAGATACTATTTATAAGTTCCTTAATGTTTATGACCTAGAACAGGCTTCAAAAATTAATTCCTTTACTATGTCCATTCTTATTTCATAGGGAATGAAATCAACATATTTCAGTCAGTTCATAAAAGCCTTCAAGCAGATGGGGCTGGTCTCTAATTTTTTGTTTTACCAGACCCAGTATTGAGTTGGCATAATTATTTTGTTTCCCTTAACTTTTTAGTATGTAAATTTCTGAACATATGGAAAGGTAGAGAAAATAAGATAATTAAACCATATGTACCCATCACCTACCTGCAGAGACGATGAGCTCCAAGCTTTGTCAATGTGTGCCTTCTCAGCCCCTACCCTGGATTATTTTTAGGCAAATTCCAAACATTATTTATTTCATTCATAAATATTTCAGTGTAAGCTCAGCACCTGTGGCTCAAGCGGCTAAGGCGCCAGCCACATACACTTAAGGTGGCGAGTTCAAATCCAGCCCAGGCCCGCCAAACAACAATGACGGCTGCAACCAAAAAATAGCCAGGCATTGTGGTGGGCGCCTGTGGTCCCAGCTACTTGGAAGGCTAAGGCAAGATACTCTTTTGAGCCCAGGAGTTGGAGGTTGCTGTGAGCTGTGATGCCACGGCACTCTACCCAGGGTGACAGCTTGAGGCTCTGTCTCAAAAAAAATAAATAAATATTTCAGATTATTTTTAAAAAAGAAATACCTCATTTTTCTAAAAATGTTAATAGTACTTCATTAATGTGACAATAATATAAAATATCCAGTGTTCAGACTGTCTTATAATTGTTTTAGTATTCTGTTTGAATCTAGATACAGGTAAGGTCCACCCGTTTCACTTGGTTTCTACGTTTTTAAGTTTTTGTGAATCTGTAAATTTCTTCACCAACACACCTTTTCATTTTTCCTGGCTGTTTCTGGGTCGTTCTTCCTGTTCTTTTTTCCCGGTCTGGATTTTGCTGATTACATTGCCATGGCATCTTGCCATATTCCTCTGCCCCCGACATTGCCTGTAATTGAGTAGTTAGGACTAGATAAGGATTCAGTGTTTTGAGGTTGTAGCAATATTTCCTAGGAGGTGGTATGCACCTGCCTCAGGGGCTCAGAATGCCTCGTTGCTTCTGGTTTAAGTCGCCAGAGAGCATCTGGATGCCTTTGTTTCATAAAAGGTTATAAAATGATAATACTCTCTGTTTTTCCTTCTTCATTTATTGGCTGAAATACTTTAGAAAAGAGAAACGTCCCCTCATCTATTACTTGGTTTCCCTGAGTTTTATCAAAAAAGCAAGGCACATACTTGATGCTTTCTCATTATCAGCAAAATAATGGTATTATTCTTTAACATCCCCCAAAGGTGAGGGGTCTGCATCTTTGTTTTCTGAGTATAATTATAAACATACGAATTTAAACATTTGCTACGTTTTAGTTTGTCACAGTTAGTGTTTTTATTGATGCTGAAATTGTCCTACCTTTGGCCTTTGGGAAGCTCTTCTTAGTCCTTCTTTCTTAGTCCTTCTGACACCACTCTAGCACTCTTGGGTAGCTTCCTTGCTCTCTGATGTGATAAGACACTTTGAACACATCTTAACCTTTCTTGCTCAGAATTGGAATTAGCCATTTCTCTAGGAACCCTGTTTTCCATGTGGTGGGAAAGAGTATCTATTTTTAAACAATATTAAAGCCAAGTCTGTGGCAATTTTCTTTTAATTCTCTGAAATCCTAACAGGTGACAGTGCCAAACATGGTGTCTGGCTTTGTGAATTGTTTTAAGTTCATGTACACAGTAGTTCTAACTTAGCATATGAGTATTCCTCAGCTGGCCACTTGGTGTCACTGCGCAGTCACCAAGTATCAGTGACCCTGCGGTAATTTATGCTAGTTCTGATTCTGTTGAAAGCAGCATTAATGAGATGGTAGAGGGCAAGTGACTACTTCAGATGCAAAAGCACGCTTCACGTAATGCAGAGATGCATTAGATGACAAAATTAATTCTAAAATGAAAGGCTTCGCATCCTTAATTCCTTCTCCCATTTTTTTATGACCTTGTGAAACAAAGGGAATATACATTTATTAGCAGTATTAATTACCAATACTTTTTAGATGAATGGAATGCTGCTGGGAAAAAAAGAAAAACTATCAGAATATTTTTAGCATTCAGAAGAGGAAACAGAATTGTCCTCACACTTAGACCAGTGGTAACGTTCCAGACCACTCTCCTCCCATAATGTTCCATAAAAGCCACTTACATTAGAACTCAGCCTCGTTGGCCATTTCCACACTGGCTTCTTTTGTTGTTGTTGTTGTTTCAGTATGGCTAGGGCCAGGTTTGAACCCACCACCCTCAGTATGTGGGGCCGGCACCCTACCCACTGAGCCACAGGAACCAGCCTCCACACTGGGTTCTTAACAGAGACCAACAGCAGGGGAGTTTTGATGAAACTTTCACAGTTTTAATGAAATGAGATGGTAGGAGGCAGGTGACTACTTCAGATGCAAAAGCACGCTTCAAATAATGCAGAGATTCATTAAATGACAAAATTCTAAAATGAAAGCCTTTGCATCCTTAATTGGGTCCTTTCCGTATAAAGGAAAGAGTTGAGAACCAGGAGTTCATTGTCATGGTGACCTGTAGCTTCAGTCCCAGCTCACCACTGAATGGCTATCTGTCCTTTGGCATGTTACTGTCCTTGTTGTGCCTCAGTTTCCTCATCTGTAAGATGGGGATAACAGTACCTGTCTTCCAGGGATGAGGATAAGGATAAAAATATGATAATATCTGTAAATGCCTGCAGCGTCCTAGACATGAGGTAGACACCTGGTAAATGGTAGCCTTTCCTCCTGTTCTTGGCTTCAACTCTCTGAGAAATAAATGAAAT